CCCTCTCTGGTCAACTTAAAATAAATAAATAAAAATAAAGTTAAATAAAATAATTTTTTTTAAAGTTTAGATTTAGATACTTGAGAGATTTTTCTTTGGTTATAAATCTAAATGTTTATACCTGTTGGCAATCATTTATAGGTTTATGAACCACATGAAGCACCACTTGGAACTTGAGAAGCAGAACAGTGAGAGCTGGGAAAACCATACCACCTGCCAGCACTGCTACCGGCAGTATCCCACACCCTTTCAGCTGCAGTGCCACATTGAGAGTACACACACACCCCATGAGTTTTCTAGTAAGTGATAGTTTCATCCAAGTCCTAAATATTACTGTTTTTGATTGGATATCTAAACTATGAACTTAAGAATTCTGACAAAAAAATATTAGAGGGTAAAATTGAAAAGTAAGTTATAACTTTTATAAGCATAAATAAAATTTGTTACTAAAGTTGAAGTCTCTAATAAATAACTCATTAGTGGAAATTTCCTTAGCATGATCTATGTGTATGTGTAGGGGACTAAATAAGCATGTCCTAATATCATGGTTTTCAAATTTGAAATCAATGACGTTAATTTACACTTTATTACAAAAAGTAACTGTTCAATCCATTGGTAGTTTAAACTCAGAGAGTCTGGAAACTGTACAACTTAGGTTAGGTTCATATCCCAGCTCTACCTTGTAATAGGACTGTGAGATTTCAGACAAGTTACTTAATCTTTCTGTACTTCTAATCTGAAAAAATAATATAAAAATAGTACCTTTTTTAGTGATGTTACAAGAATTAAATAAGATAATGTAAGTCATGTCCTTAGAACAGTTTTTACAAGAATTAAATAAGATAATGTAAGTCATTTACTTAGAACAGTTGTAGAGTTGTTAGAACCACCATGACTATTACTACCACTACTATTACTTGTTTTTATAAATATGCAGCCTCAGTCTTTTTTATATATTAAACGTTTTAATGTGTTTTTTTCCAATTTCAGCTATTTGTAAAATCTGTGAATTATCATTTGAAACAGAGCATATTCTTTTACAACACATGAAGGATACTCATAAACCCGGTGAAATGCCATATATTTGCCAGGTACACACACATTTTATTGTGTACTTAGGTATTTGTTTTAATTTTCACGTGCCATGAATAGTGGTGGTGTCTTTATTTTTTTAACCATTTAAATAAAATTAGTTACTATACTAAAATTGAAGATCTACTTAATTAGTGGGAACTCTCTTGGTTTAACTCATGCGTTATTATGGGGGTGGTATACTGGTTTTTGTCTGTAAACCATAGTTTACTGACCCCGTACT